CTTAAATAGTTTTTTTTTTTTTTTCAGTCTTGATTTTGTCCTGTTCATGCATGCATTTTTTCTTTCATGTATACATTTTGTGCCTGCCGGCTATACCTCATATTCAGTAGGTTTTGTATAAGGGAAAGCTTAGAGGGCTTGTTTTCTAATTTTACTTTGCTTCTGTTAGGTGCCTTAGAGGTCATAGGTCACATTCTAAGTTAATTCTTTTAGCTTAGTGGAGAGAGGGGGCGGGATCATTTACATTTTATCTATGAAGAGGACTAGTCTTATGCTTACACATTGTTATGGTTAGATTTAAAGTACCCTCCAAAAGGTTCACATGTGTGGAAGGCAAGTGTGTCATGGGGGTGCTATACTCACTAGTGGATTCACTCATTGTTAAGTTCATGGCTCAGTGCATTGCTAGGGGTGGGGCCTGGTTGGAAGATGCAGGTCACAGGGAGGTCAGTGTATTGTCCCTGGCTTCTCCCTTCTTGCTTTTTGCTTCCAGGCTGGTATGGATGAGCAGCTGTAAAGAACCAGGCCTTTCATTTGGCCATTTCTGCCTTACAGCCTGCCCAATGTGGACTGAAGCTACAAGCTAGAATATGTAACCTTGAACCTGTGGGTGTGGGGTATTGTGTTCCAGTCATGCTAAAGTGATGAAGACACATTCCCAAGGGATTTGCACCCCATTTCCTGTGCTCACACACTCAGAGCTGAGGTCAAGACGGACTCTGTCTCTGTGTGGTGGTTGTGATGGAGTATTTCTAGTTCATCCTTTCATCTCTATCTCTGCCTCTGCCTCTGCTTCTGCCCCTATCCCTGCCCCTGCCCCTCTCCCTGCCTCTACCTTTGCCTCTACCTCTATCTCTATCTTTCAATTGTGGAATACTGCTTAGTTCTAATTGTCCACATTGCACCACCCCCAGGCCCTGTACTTCACACAGGGTTACTCTTAGCCAATCAGTAGAAATGGCAGCGATTCCAAGGGGAGCCCATTTCTTGGAGAGCTGGGCTCTTCTGGCAGCTGACAGTGATTCAAGGACCTCCTGCTGGCCTTGCTAAGCTTTCTCTGGATGAATGGCAGCCAAAGAGTGCTTCTCCCCAGTGTTCTTGGCCTTTCTTCTTCACTCCAGGTCAGACATGCCTGGTGCTTAGGAAGCTTTCCCACCAGTTTCCAGGTTTCTCTGTACTTTCTCTTGAAGCCATTTCCCTAATAAAATCCTTGTACTTCACGTCCACGTTGGCATCTGCTTTTCAAAAGACCCAGGCTCTCACACTAAATTTTCACTTTGACCTTACAATTCATGTTGTCAGAAAAATAACTAAAATTCACCATAGATCTACATGTAAGAGCTAAAATTGTGAACCTTAGGTTAAAACATAAAGCAAAATCTTTGTGGCTTGGGATTAGTTAGTGCTAAGTTATGACATAAAAACACAAGCAAAGCAAGAAAAGTAGATATATTGTACTATGAAGATAAAACCTTTTATGGTTCAAAGGAGATCACCTAGAAAGTAAAAAAGCCAATACACAGAATGAGAAAAAAAATTTTATATCATGTTTCTGACAAATGTCATGTATCTAGAATAGAGAACCCTCATAACTCAACAACAATGAATAACTCAATTGAAAATGGGAAGGGACTTGAATCGACATTTCTTCCAAGAAGATGTGCAAATGGTCAGCATACACATGAAAAGATGCTGAGTATCTTTAGCCATCAGGGAAGTGTAAATTAAAACCCAAATCAAGTACTGTCCTGGACTTTGAGAACTGTAATAAAAATCTGGAGATTAACAAATGTTGGTAAGAATATAGAGAAACAGGAAACATCATACACTACAGTGGGAATGTAAAAATGTAAAATGGTGTGGCTGCTAAAGAAAACAGGTCTGGTAGTTTGACAAAGGCTAAACGCAGAGTTATCACTCAACCCAGCAATGCCATTCTTTGGCACATACTTAAGAGAAATGATACTTTCTCTTAATTCAATGAGAAGAAAAATTTGTACTACTAGTGTTTGGACAGGATATCATGTCTGCATCTTGTACTATGAATAACTACTATGAAGACAACAATATGCAATGTATTAATTATTGTACCTGTCCTACTAATCTGCTTTGAAACTGTCTCATTGCTATTTCTTTCTCAATAAAATTAATAAAAAAAGAAATGAAAACCCATACACACACACACACACACACACACACACACACACACGTAAATGTTTAGAACCGGATTATTCAAAAAACCTAAAATGAAAATAGCGCAAAGTTCCAACTGGTGAATGGCTAGACAGAGCACACAGCAGCACAGTGGCACATTATTTGGCATTAGAAAAAATGAAGTGCCAGGTGTAGTCCCTGCTACTTAGTGTGCACTTCTAGTCCCAGCTGCTCAGGACTTTGGGGTCAAGCAGACACGGTAGTAATATTCCATCTCTTTGAAAAAAGTATGGTTACTTGCTGCAATGCTGCATGGATGAGCATTAAGAACATAAAGGTAAGAGAAAAAGGCCACATGCAAAGGACCGCATATTTCATGATTTCATTTATTTGTTTGTTCATTCACTTATTTATTTTAGCTGAGGAGTGGCTCAGGGCCTTGGGCATACTAAGCACACACTCTACCACTGAACTACATGCCTAGCCTATGAGTCTGTTTATATAAAATGTTCAAAATAGGAAAATGTATGGAGAAGAAACACACACGCACACACAAACACGTTCATTTTTTTCCCACTTATTTGTGGTGCTGGTGATTGAATCTAGGTGCTCACACTTAGCTACATTCCTGCCCAGGTGGGGCTCCAACTTGCGGTCCTCTTGCTTCAGCCTCCCAAAGTCCTGAGGTTACAGACCTGCGTCAGCATGCCCAGCTCAGAAAAATATATTAATGTTTGACAGGGCTCAGGGGCGCACAGGAGTGACTGTTAATTTAGGGTTTATTTTGTAGAGAAGTAAAAATGTTCTAAAATCAATTAGGGTAATGCCTGAAAAACTCTGGATACATTTAAAACTACTGAACTATATTTTACTTGTAATTGCCATAATAATTGTACATATTTATGGGATATACTGTGAAGCTTCCATGTATGCATACATAGTCTAATTATCAGGTAGGGTCAATTAGCAAATCTGTCATCTCAAGCGTTTATCATTTTTTGTAATGAGAACATTAAAAATTCCTTCTTCTAGTCATTTAGAAATACACATTGTCAACTATTGCACAGTTTAAATAAGTGGGTTGTATGGTATATGAATTATATCTCAATAAAGTCATTACAAAACAACAGAACAATGAATCCATACTTTTTTTTTTTTCTCTAGTAAGATGTTATTTTGTTACCGACGCTGCCCTCAAATCACTGGTCTTAAGCATTCTTCCTGCTTCAGCCTCCTGACTAGGCAAAACTAACCCATGCTGGTTCAATACAGTATCCATATCAATCACTCGACATGTATTATGTAGTACATGTCTTAGTTATTTTTCAAGTCAAAATGTTGAGTTACTTCATATCCTACAAAATAGCAATGATCTCTCCACTGCGTGATTTTTGTGTAGATTTGTTTTATTATATTTTCCAAATTTCCTTCAGTTACTTTTATTGTTGGAAGAAGTGTATCATACGGAAATAAAGGTATCGCTGCACTAGCAATGTGGTTACCTCCTAAACGCCAAAGTCTATGTCCTCTTGTGGAGTCCTCTGATGCTAGATGACTTGTAAATATTAATGATAATGGTGGTAGGTTTGAATGTCTTTAAGTCTAATGATGTATGTCAATTAATTACTGATAACAGAGTTCAAGAGAAACTTTTTTTTTTTTTTTTTTGGCGGAACCGGGGATTGAACTCAGGCCCTTGCACTTGCCAGGGAAGCACTTATTCTACTGAGCCATCTCCCCAGCCCCAAGAGAAACTTTTATGTCACCTGGTGATGCCATCTCAGGAAACTTTCCACGATCATCAGTTGTGTTCTTAGGCAAATCACAACGCAGCTCAGGAGGTGGCCCAGGAAGGTTTATGTATCAGGCTGGGTCTGGAAACCAGATGGAACAGGGCGGCTCTTCCCATCCCCCACGTGGGGTAGGATGGGGCAAGAGAAGACCGGCCGTCTTCTGGGGTGTTCAGGAGGGTACCGAGTGAGCTGGGGGAGATGACTCCCCTCCTCCCTCTCCTCCAGTCCTCTGCCCTCCCGCGTGCCTCCCAGGGACAGAACCTCCAGGAGAAAGGCGCGGGGCTCACAGAAATCGCCTGCTCGTGCCTTCCGGAGCCACAAGCTCTCTCCTACATCTTCACCTATTCCGGGCTTGACGGTGAGGTCTCTTGATTTGCATTTCTGTTGTCCTTCTTCCCCCGTGCCCCCCACCCACACCCCCACCTACAGGTTCTCAGCCGGCGCACAGTAGGTCTCTAATAAATACCGGCTGAATACATCCGCAGACCAAGGCCCAGGTAGCCTGCTGGACTTTCTACTTTTTCTTCTCTTACAGAAAGATCCGACGGCCCACGCTTCCGGGCGCCGGGCCGGGGACTGTCCCCGGCCCCCACCTCCGGGGCGGGAGGCCAGGCAGGTGCCCGCGCGCCCGGCTGCCGCAGCGCGGGATCCCGGGAC